CCCCGTCATCCCAGATTCGTCCTCGTTCCTCCTCCCTCCGCCCAACACGTACTCAGTGTCGTCCTTCTTATCATACTGATGTTCCTCCTCTTACTCCTCTTTCTCATATCCTCCTTCTTCTCCTCCACCTCCACCTCCTCCCCCTCCTCGTCCTGATCCTCCTCCTCCTCCTTCCCCCATCATCTGCCACCTCCTCCTCCTCAACCTCCATCCTCCTCCACATCCCCTCCTCCTTGTTTATCCCCAATCGTCCGACGTAAGCAACCTTTCGCATCAATCACTAGCGAAGGCTGGCTTGTCTGCTTTAGTGCCGCGCACTCAACTTCAGGCAATCAGCCCTATTGCCTTCCTCATTCCTGGTCCATCCCTTGCCCACATGAATAACTCCTCCCTGTCGCACCCCCATGCGTGTCGTAGGCGGCTGGGCGTTTCGCATGAGCCTTACCACGAATGATCCTCGAACTGGCCAGTTACAACAGCTTCACTAAAGGGCGGGCGATGTTCCACATGCAGCTCTCGCCTTAGCGCCGCGCACATTCAGCTCTTAAATTCGCAAGAGATTACGGATGGAGGGCGGACGGTTTTCAAAATGTGGCTCTCGCCTTAGCACCGCGCCCGTTCGTCTTCAAAGTTTGCAGGAGCTTCACGGATGGAGGGCGGTATCTTTTCAAACTGTGGCTCTCGCATTAGCGCCGCGCGCATTCGCTGTAGGAGCTCACAACAGTTTCAAGGACTCCTATGGCTGACGTCCCAGACTTCATGTGTTGGCTCGATGTAAAACTGTTAGGGCGTGACAGTTACGTTGATCCGAGGTGGTGGCTGAAATCCCAGGAATGTTTTGCTTTGGCCCGATTCAAGACCGTCAGGACGCAACAGGAACGTTTATTCGCGGCTTTGTCTTCCAACGGGGCACTTCCCTCAGAGAAAATGAATCCTTGTAGGGACTTACGAAGAGGGAACTTGGAGGGCGGGAATATTATTTAGACATCGTTGGAGAATATTGGTTTTATACTGGTCCTCCTCCTCCTCATCATCAGCATCATCATCATCATCATCATCTTCATCATCAGCAACATCATCATCATTCCTGCTTTCATCTTCCTCTTCCGCCAAATCCGCCTCTTCTCATCCTCATCCACAGCGATCTTGGCGCGCGGCGAAAGGGAGGAAGGGGGGGAAGCAGGGAGGGAGAAGGGAGGATGAAGGGAGGAGAATAAGGAGAAGAAGGACGAGGAAGGATGAGCTTCGCGCTGCAAGGTTCCCAGGGAGAAGGAAGGATGAAGGGAGGATAGGACAGACAGCGTTCCATGCGGTTACTCCACGCACGTGCGTTCCCCCCCTCCGGCTCCCTGCGCTCCCCTCCTGGGCCAGGTAGACAGGCTCGATCACCTTGGGCGTCTCTCCGCAGAAGGTGATGGCACCGCTGCAGTGGTACACCGTCCGGCAGTTTCTGATCTGACGCGCGGGAGGGCGGCTGGCGCTGGATGAGCAGATGAACCCAACTCGAAGATGCGGCGCAGCGAAGTCGGGCGATACAACGTGCGAGAACGAACGACACCTTCCGCCTGACGTCACGGCGGAGCCAAAATCGGTGACGCGCGCACTACAAGCAAGGGCGGAGGATTGAGCTCCACAGTCGTCGTCCAGCAGCCCGGCTGCCACCGGTGCGGAGGCGCTGGCCTTTGAGAAGCGCGACGCATCTTGACACGCTCGCCCTGGGGTTAACCTCGTGTTCTGTGAAACCGAAATCAAAACAATGGGGCGAAACTCACTCACTCAGATGGCTTCCGCCTTTCGAATCAACTGCAAGATGTGTTCCTGCCAAACCCAATCAAAAAAAAACTCCGACACATGGCTTCTCAACTGTAACCAGATAGCTTCAATTTCGTTGCACAAGATATCGTGCCCCAAGGCCTGGGCACTTCCGCAACTACTTCATCGTCCTCTGCGCAGGACCTAGACACTGTCAGTACTGCTGCTCCCCTGCTGTAATCGGACGAAAGATCCAAGACGACAACTGCTGGTCACTACCACGACGACGACGCCGGCCAGTGGCCACTGGTGCGCTCCGAAACCTGAAGGCCTCCCTGCAGGCAGATCCTCACAAGTCTCCCTGGAGGCCTCCTGAGGCGCGAATCGTGACGTTTCTTACAATGGACGACGACGACGACGACGATGACGACGACATCGACCACCACAATCGCCAGCATCACACGACCACGACCAACGATGACGACAACGACGATAACGACGACGACGGCGACGACGACGACGACCACGTCGATAACGACGACGATACCGAGGACGACGACAACGACGACGACGACGACCGACGTGGCCTTGAGACCTCCAGAGAACTCCAGAGATTCCAAGAGGTCTCCCCAGAAGCCTCTGGTGGCTCGAATCATGACGTTACCAGGGGGGGCGATGACGACGACGACGAAGACGACCATCACTACCACGACAGCGACGACGACGACGACGACAGACGACGACGACGAAGACGACGACGACGACGACCATGACGGCCATGACGGCCATGACGGCCACAGCGACGAGACGGCCACGGTGACGCCGACGTCGTCCAGAGACCTTCGGGGATAGACAGAACCCCCTTTAGTAAAACGTGGTTTAGTGAAAACGACCTCGGGCCCAAACCTGGCGGGCGCAAGCCTGGAAATCGACGGCCGCGGCGCCCTCTCGAGAACCGAAAACGCACAAATCACGAATCCACGTGCCAGGGTGGGGGTCCTGTCCATCCCCCGAGACCTGGAGAGGCCTCCCGAGGCACCTGCAGGGGATCCCAGTCGGCGACCACGACGGCCATGACGGCCATGACGGCCATGACGACGACGGCGACGGCGACGGCGACGGCGACGGAGACGACGACGACGACCACGACGCTCCTCCTCCTCCTCCTCCTCCGCCTCCTCCTCCGCCTCCTCCTCCTCCTCCTCCTCCTCCTCCCTCCTCCTCCTCTCCCTCTCTCCTCCTCTCTCCTCCTCCCCATCCTCCTCCTCCTCCTCCTCCTCCTCTCCGACGACGACGACGACCGACGTCGTCCAGAGACCTGCAGGAGGCCTCCGGCCGCCTGCAGGGCATCCCGGTCTGCCCCGGAGCCCCCCGGCGGGCGGGGCGGCGCCTGCCCGGGTCGCGGGCGGCGCCGCGGCTCGTGCACGGGCGAGCGCTCTCGGCGTGGGCTCCCGGAGCGCGGGGACAGGATACTCCAGATTTCGTAGTAAAGGGAGGGGGGTCTCATTTCGGGGGGGGGGTCTCTTCCAGGCCATCTTGGAGGGCCTGGGGGGGTCTGGGGACGAGGTTTCGGGGGTTCTCCCACGGGGGGGGGGTCTGAAATGGCTCGTCTTGGAGGGTCCAGACCCCCTCCCTTTTTGTTACGACATCTGGAGTACAGACGGGCTGTACAAATGGGGCCCCAGGGCACACAAACAAATGCGCACAGATCAACAGATTCCCCATGGTTTCGCATACCTTTCGGGTTTTCGCCTTCCCCCCCCCCCCCACTTCCCATACGTTTCCACATTTTCTGGGGGATCGATGATTACTTGTGTCTGTGTGTGTGTGTTTTCCCCTCCTGCCTGTAGGAGCCCTGGTGCAATCCCATGGAAACTGCAGGGGGTCAGGCCTGCGCGCAGCTCTGGGGCGTTACACCGCTGCGGGGGAGCGGGGGCGGGGCGGCCAGGCGAGGGCGACAAACGTTGCCCCAGGAGGTAGTGGACGAACCGAGCAGGCACCATTCCGTTGTCCATACTGTGGTTGGCCGCTTCTTCGGATGGCCCACGCAGGACCCCCGCCCTGCTGACCACCACTTGGGAGTAGGAAATCGTGGTGCAGAAATTCGGCTAGCCGGTTGGGCGTCTTCTCCGCACGGTGCGCGCTTTCTTTAGGGGGGAAACAAACCTACCTCGCTTTTGACCACCCTCGCTTCCAAGAGATACCAAACGATGCCAAATTGCAGCCTGTACTGGTCAGGCCGCTTGACGAGGAGGCGCGTGGTATGGCTTGGTTTTGCCTGGAAGCGAAAGCGGGGTAGGTAATTCACGCTCTGATTCTTGCACTCCGAGGCCCCTACTTGTTTATGCTCAATACTCGCCTGGCTCCGCCGAGGCCTCACAGCGTTGCCGCCCGTGGGCGCCGCGAGGGCGCGCCTCTGCGCTGAGTGTATACGGCAGGTCCGTGTCGTGTCAACCCTGGCTTTGGTTCCTGACACAGCGCGGATCGTTCAATCTTGAACGATCCGCCGTTTCCAGAACGTCCGATCGTTCAACATCGACCGATTCTGGGTCACTGGCGGCGTTCAACGTTGAACGCTGGCGGCGGGGTCGCCGACGGTCGGCACGACACATACCTACCGTCCGCCTCCCGAAGAGGAAGGAAGAGGGCAAGCCGCTCGACTCCTGAAGCAGGAAGGCGCCGAAAGCAGACTAGAACCTGGGCATCCAAAAATGCCTACCTTCAACGACCGATGGCTACGCCGATGCCTCGCCACCCTGCCGCCCGCGGGCGCCTCGCGGGCGCCCGTGGGCGCCGCGAGGGCGCCCCCGTGTGCTGAAGTTGAACTTCGATTTCCCGTCGAAAACGTAAGGAAAATCCCAGGCTCCAGAGCTCGTGATAAAAGGGAGGGGGTCCGGACCCTCCAAGACAGGCCATTCCAGACCCCCCCCCCGGGGGAGAACCCTCCAGAACCTCGTCCCTAGACCCCCCCCCAGGCCCTCCAGGATGGCCTGGAAGAGACCCCCCCCCGAAATGAGACCACCCCCCCCTCCCCTCTCCCCCTCCTCCTCCTCCTCCCACTCCTCCTCCTCCTCCTCCCTCCTCCTCCTCCTCCTCCTCCTCCTCCTCCCTCCTCCTCCTCCTCCTCCTCCTCCTCCTCCTTTTCCTCCTCCGCCTCCTCCTCCCTTTATTACGAAATCTGGGGTAGACGCCGATGCCTCGCCACCCTGCCGCCCGCGGGCGCCTCGCGGGCGCACCGTGCGCCGGGCGGGGGCCCACCGCAGCCCGCGGCGCACACTGCCGCCCGTGGGCGCCCCTGTGGGCGCCCACGGGCGCCCACGGTTGGAATACAGTCGGGGCGTTGACCTGAGGAACCCTAAATCAGGAACGAGGCCCCTTTTTCCCCAATAAGTTTTTTTTTGGGGGGGGGCTACGGAGCCTCTAGGGCTCTCTTTCCTTAAAGAGGCGAAGGGACCAAGAGCGAACTGCTCGTCCTGCGGGGCGACCCTTTTTTCCCAATAAGTTGAGCTTCGATTTCCCGTCGAAGACGTGAGGAAAATCCAAGGCAGGCTGCGAAGCAATGAAGGAACGCGGAGCCCCTCCCCGACCAAAAGGGTTCCTTCTTCAGGGCTTCGACTGCAGCTCACATCACATAGACTCTCGCTTCCAAAAGGAAAGCCAAGTCCCACCCCATTCCACAATGTTGGACTTCAAAGGTCGCGCTGGGGCGCGCTGGATTCCATAATAGAGTGGGGGGGGGTCTCATTTCGGGGGGGGTCTCATTTCGGGGGGGGTCTCTTCCAAGCTATCTTGGAGGGCCTGGGGGGGGGTCTGGGGACGATGCTTTGGAGGGCTCTCCCACGGGGGGGGGGTCTAGAATGGCTTGTCTTGGAGGGTCCAGACCCCCTCCCTTTTGTTACGAAATCTGGAGTACTCTGGATTACACAATAGAGTGGGGGGGTCACATTTTAGGGGGGGGTCTGATGTGAGCTGTCTTGGAGGGCTCGGAGGGGGTCTGGGCAAGGGGTCGCCCCTTCAGGGATGGTCTGGGGGGGGTCTGAGGCTTCTCGTCTGGGAGGGTTGTGACCGCCTCCCTTTTATTACGAAATCTGGGGTAGACTCGCGCTTCAAAAAGGAAAACCAAGTCCCACCCCACTCCACACATTGGGCTTCAGAGGTCGCGCTGGGACAGTGTACATTGCATATGACTGCGCCTCAACGCTCATTCCCATATGAGCTCATGCCATACCAGCCCCACCAACACCACCCCTCATCCGTCTCCGATTAGACCATGCGCGCACACTCACTGATCTCAAAATATAGTTCCCAACCGCTCACTGGAAGAATGGGCACAAGCGTGGGCACGTATCAGGCTCAGACCAACCGCGTGACACCTGAAAACATTTCAACATAAACATAAGAAACACATTTCTACCAACACGGAAATTGCACATGGTGGGCCCGCGCACACTTTCGTAAACAAGATGAAGACCATACGAGTTTAGCCATATCGCCCTGAACTCACAAACTCATCCCACCACGCGGTGATTGCGCGCTGATCCAACATGCACCCAGCGCAGAAATACGTATACATTCATAGCATGCGGGTTACACGCGCGCACCGCAGCGCGGGCGCCGAAATCCGTCCAAAACCCATGTTTCTCCAAGCGTTTCAAGACAGAGCCCTTCAACGCACATGCGGCAAAACATTTGTCCACCAAACCTTACTAAGTTTCTGAAAATTCTGGGCGCGCCCATTTCCGCACCATCACCCTCATCAACGCCATCGCATCACCGCCGTTACAGTCATCGTCAATCGCTTGCGTTGCAGCCATCATCAGTCAATCATCATGGACACACTGGACATCATCATCATCAGCATCATCATCATCATCATCATCATCATCATCATCATCATCATCATCAGCATCATCATCATCATCATCAGCATCAGCATCATCATCATCATCATCATCATCATCATCATCATCATCGTCACCGTCGCCACCAGCATCGGCGCCGCAATTGGCCTTGCCGTCGTCGTCGCCATCATCGCGACCATCATCGCTACCATCATCGTCGTTACCACCGTTGCCGACGTCAGCATGATATCGTGCCCGCCCGAATCAAGCTCGTTCGATATTTGATTGCACCACATAGCCTACACTGTTTAGCCCATGCCACACAGAGCGAACTACAGAGCTTACCCTCCATTGGTCACATATCATGGTTCACATCACATAAAGTGGAACACATAATTGACACCACATTGCTCACAGCACGTCGATTGCACTGCATAAGCTCTCCTCTTAAAAGAAACATGGGACCCATTTAACTCCCGAAACTGGAATTACCTGGACGCCCCGGAAAACTGCAAATTACAAGTGGTGTTGCCTCATCGTCAATTTTCCATATGAGTCCATACCATCCCAGCCCAAACGGCATCGCCCCCCCCATGCCCACCCTCATCCCTGTCAAGTAATACGATGCGCGCAGTCACTTGCATCTTGAAAGGTCATTAACTGTGTCAATAACCTTCTTGTTTAATTAAAAACTAGCGTGAGCACGTGCCAAAACCATACCAACACACAGTAACGATGAAAGCGCTTCAAACGCTCCAATATCAACACATCAATACCACAAGACTGGCATTGCAAATGTAGCAAGCCGTCTGCACGCGCGCATTTGCCGAAATCACCTGAGAAACACCAAATGAGTTCAGCCATCTCTTCCAGAACCCGTATACTCATTTCACCACGCGCTGCATCTGCGTTGATCCAGTATGAGCCCCGCGCAAGACTCCGTCCCCAATATTAGAATGCGGGGCACATGCGCGCGGCGCCACGCGAGCGTCAAATTCATTCCAAACCTATTGGTTCCCGATGCAGATCGGAACAAACTTTTCAAAAACACATGAACAACAACCAATTCTCTGTCAACAGAAAATCTGCCTGGTGTGTTGGCTTTCTGCGATCGCGTGCTTCCTCAGCATCAAACGCATCAACGCCATCGCAGCATTGACGTGATCGGCATCGCCAATCGCCGGCATTGCCGCCATCATCAGTCAAGCATCATCGACACACTGGACATCATCATCGCCATCGTCGCCACCAACATCGGCGCCGTAATCGGCTTTGCCGCCGTGAGCGTAAGCATCGCCACCACCATTGCTGCCATCATCATCGTTGTCGCCGTTGTCGACGTCATCATGATATCGCGCCCACACGAGTCACCGATCCGCACTCACGTGCCCGCGCCGCAGCGCGGCCTCTGAGACGCACATGGGAACTGCCGTCAGCAAGCGCCATCGCGGCCCCAGCAGCGGAGCCAAGCCAGCCTGTCGCTCTGCGAGCGAGCGTGCGCGCGACAGCGAGACCGACAAAATGCGCCAGCCAGGGCCAAACACGGCCGCATGGATTGTGCAAAACAGGTTGCGTGTGGGAGCGTGGGATGATCGCGCGAGCAGTGGAGCTGACAACTCCTGAGTTGACATTACATGCATTGCATCACTCAGATTCCACCAGGTTGCACCACACAGCTCACACCACACAGATTGCACCGCGTATACCGCACCACATCGTTTGCACCCCACTGCTCAGAATCACCACATAGACTGCGCCACACAGCTTACACCCCGTAGATCACGCCACACAGACTGCGCCACAGATGTTGCGCCACACAACTTACACCTCACAGCTCACACCACATAGAGGAGGAGGAGGAGGAGGAGGAGGAGGAGGAGGAGGAGGAGGAGGAGGAGGAGGAGGGGAGGAGGAGGAGGAGGAGGAGGAGGAGGAGGAAGAGGAGGAGCGAACGTCGCCTGACAGGGAGGAGGAGGAGGAGGAGGAGGAGGAGAACCTCATACATCACACTGCGCAGCTTGCACACCCACAGTGCCACATCTCACTGCTCGGGGGGCCCACGCTGGCCGACCTGCACCACGGCACGGGACTGCTGCTCGGCTTCACCACCTCTCGCGGATGCTTCAGACTGACCTCACGCACTGGACGACGCCCCTCTCGTCGATGCCCAACTTTCACACCACTTTCGTCGGGCTGCTGCCACTTTCGCCACCTTCGTCAGACTGGTGTTCACCGGACCACGCCACTTTCGTCAGATCGCCGTCTGGATTCACCACTTCCGTGGACGCTCCACCGACAGCGCCCCGGCCACCGCTCCGGACGCCCATGCCAGGAAAACTAGCAAAATTGGCCCAGAAGATGCCAAAGATAGCCCGCCGCAGGCCTCAATGCCAACAGAGGCTCTACAGAAAAGACAAAAAAAAATAGAAACCAATAATCGGGAGCGGCCAAGAGGGGGGTGTCCAAGAGGGGGGGGTGCAAATCATGACCGGCGGCATGTGCGCGGCCCAGCGGGGGGGCTAGGGACGTAATGAAACAAGAAGAGGCGCCATGAGATCTGGGGCAATATCATGGCCCCCGCCATGATATCCACCCCCCCTAGTCATCACCCCCCTCTTTTCCGCCCCCGAAATGAAATAAAGCTGTGAGGAAAGAAACGGGCGCCTGCTGCCAAGGCCTCAATGCCAACAGAGGCTCTACAGAAAAGACAAAACAAATGTTAGAAACCAATAGAGCTGTGAGGAGAGAAACGGGCGCCTGCTGCCAAGGCACGGGGATGTTCTCGAGGAGCTTGTACACGGCGTGCGGCAGGTACCTCGCGGCGACGGCAGAGGCGGGAGCAATCCCGCGGCAGGTGTCGGGCCGCGGCGGCCCCCGGCGGCGGCCCGTGGCAGGACCGGTGGAGGCGGCCAGGGCGGGCTGCTTCGTCTGCACGTGGGACGCACAGGTCGGGAGCGGCCAAGAGGGGGGTGTCCTCCTCCTCCTCCTCCTCCTCCTCCTCCTCCTCCTCCTCCTCGTCGTCCTCCTCCTCCTCCTCCTCCTCCTCCCTCCTCCTCCTCCTCCTCCTCCCTCCTACCTCCTCCTCCTCCTCCTCCTCCTCCTCCTCCCCTCCTCTCCTCCTCCTCCTCCTCCTCCTCCTCCTCCTCCTCCTCCTCCTCCTCCTCCGCCTCCTCCTCCTCCTCCTCCTCTCCTCCTCCTTCCTCCTCCTCCTCCTCCTCCTCCTCCTCCTCCTCCTCCTCCTCCTCCTCCTCCTCCTCCTCCTCTCTCCTCCTCCTCCTCCTCCTCCTCCTCCTACTCCTCCTCCTCCTCCTCCTCCTCCTCCTCTACCTCCTCCTCCTCCTCCTCCTCCCTCCTCCTCCTCCTCTCCTCCTCCTCCTCCGCCTCCTCCTCCTCCTCCTCCTCCTCCTCCTCCTCCTCCTCCTCCTCCTCTCCTCCTCCTCCTCCTCCTCCTCCTCCTCCTCCTCCTCCTCCTCCTCCTCCTCCTCCTCCTCCTCCTCCTCCTCCCCTCCTCCTCCTCCTCCTCCTCCTCCTCCTCCTCCTCACTCGCCCCCCCCCCCTTCCCTGGGAGAGCGGCGGAGGCGAGGGGGGTGTCCAAGAGGGGTCGGGGATCCTCTGACCCGGGTCAATCCAGACCCGGGTCAGTCAGACCATGCGAGATCCTGCAAGATCCTGCACCCAGACCCGGGTCAACGCGAAGGGTCCTGCAAGATCCTGCAGAATCCTGCACCCAAACCCGGGTCAGTGCACCCCTGGCCCTGCAGGATCCTGCAAGATCGGGCGCTCTGGCTAACCCCCGTTTGCATTGACCCCCGTCTCAATGCTCCCGAAGGGGGAGGTGCAAATCATGACCGGCGGCATGTGCGCAGCCCAGCGGGGGGGCCAGGGACGTGATGAAGTAAGAAGAGGCGCCATGAGATCTGGGGAAATATCATGGCCCCCGCCATGATATCCACCCCCCCTAGTCATCACCCCCTCTTTTCCGTTCCCGAACAGAGACATACTGATACTACATGTCCTCCTTGGAGGCACGCGTCCGACCCGAACATGTAGTATACCCATCTTGTAGTATATCGTTTCCCGAGCGGTGTGGCCAGAGAGGGCCCGCCACGACGCACACACTATGAGATTTCTCGGTGCGCGCGTCGCCCCTGTGGGGGGCGACGAACATACAGTAGAAGTATGTTGGGGTGACGCCGAGCACATGTTTGAAGGCCTGGACGGAGGGGCAGGATCAATCTTAAGTCGGGCCTGTCCCCCTACAGGGGGATTTTCGACAAAAAAAAAAAGTCAAAAAATCATCCAAAAATGGTCATGGGGCTATTTTTTGAATATGTTTTGACCTGCTTGGGATATTTTAGGGGTATTTCCTATTTTTCGTCGAAAATCCCCCTGTAGGGGGACACGCCCGACATAAGATCAGTCAGCGTCGGCCCTCGGGCCGCATCGGATCCTCGGGCCGCACGGAGACCGAAGCGGACCGAGCCGACCAAACTCGCTGACAAAGCCGAAGCCGGAGGGGTCGGGAGGAGGAGGAGGAGGAGGAGGAGGAGGAGGAAGGAGGAGGAGGAAGAAGGCGAGGAGGAGGAGGAAGAGGAAGATGAGGAAGAGGACGAGGAGGAGAAGGAGGAAGAAGAACAGATCACAATGGGCCCTGCGGAGTGGGCAAGGAAGCACTGGGGGGCGTCGACCGACAGCCTCAGCGATCCGAGCCAAGGCCGATCCTGGACCCAGGCTGGGCCCGGCCAGGATCGGCGAGGGGGTCAGAGAACGACCCCCCAGGGGAGGACCGGTGATTGCATTCAACGCCGCCGCCGATATACCGTCGTCGTCGTCGTCGTCGTCGTCGTCGTCGTCGTCGTCGTCGTCGTCGTCGTCGTCGTCGTCGTCGTCGTCGTCGTCGTCGTCGTCGTCGTCACTGGTCGACATCGAGAGTGGAGCAGGAGGAGGAAGGGCAGGGAGAAGGGGCAGTGTGGCTCGACGGGTCCCGCATCCAACGACCCGAGCGGGACAAGGAGAAGTAGCAACAGAGGCCTCAAAAGACCTCTGTAGCTGCTTTTCTCCAGAGCCTTCTGCTCTTCATCATCATCATCATCATCATCATCATCATCATCATCATCATCATCATCATCATCATCATCATCATCATCATCATCATCATCATCATCATCAACTACATCTTCATCATCATCATCATCATCAGCAGCAGCATCATCATCATCAGAATCAGCATCAGCATCAGCATCAGCATCATCATCATCATCGGCAACATCATCATCATCAACATCATCATCATCATCATCATCATCATCATCATCATCATCATCATCATCATCATCATCATCATCATCGGTATCATCAGCATCATCATCAGTATCAGCATCATCGTCATCAGCATCAGCATCTGCATCTGCATCATCAGCATCAACATCAGCATCAGCATCAGCATCATCATCACCATCACCATCATCATCAGCAGCAGCAGCATCATCATCAAGATCAGCATCATCATCATCATCATCATTCCAACATCATCGTCGATGCTGTCGTCGTCTCCTCCCTTAACCTCCCCCTTTTCCCCAGGTCACTTCAGCGCCCCCAGATAGATGCGCTTATCGTGACGGAACTTCCGCGCGGACATGTCGCCATGGTCCTGCGGGCCGAGTACTACAGTGGAAGCTCGGGCGCCTCAACTGCCGCTGCTACTGCGAAGAGGAGAAAGGCGAGGAGGAGGAGAGTGGGACGCGCTGCTCCTCCTCCTCCTCCTCATCCTCATCCTCCTCCTTCTCATCCTCCTCCACGCCCTCCTCGCCCCTCACCTACATCGTTTGCTGCGCAACTCCCTGCGAGGAATCCAGGGCTTTCAGCAGACCCACAAAAAAAAAGTTGGGGACCGAAAGCAATGTTTCGTTAATGCTCCAGCCCCAAACATGATATGTCCGCATATGCGCTTCGTTCACCAAAAATGCGTTCGGACCCACAAACAGAAGTGTCCAGCCTCTGCTTCCCACCCCACCTCCTGGCACGCCCGAGGACGAAGGCGGACAAAAACTGGCCCGACGCCCCAACCACAGATGTAGCCCAAGACCAGCAGCGGCCGCCGTCGTGCGAGCGATTCTTGTATCAAGTAGACAACGTCTACGGCGGCCCCGACAGCGGGTCCCACGTCTGATTGCTGTCGGTCTTCGTCCCCATGTGTTGACCGTACCGAACATCACTCCCTCTCCACTTGCGCGGGGGGGTCCCAACTGCCGCTGCCGCCAGGCCCGAGCCCCGACGCCACCCCCAAACAAAAACTTGTCGCCGCGGAGTCATCACGACGAGAACTCTCGACCCGAAGCCGTCCACGGCGACAGCATAGCGGAACACGGACGAAGCGACAGCGAAGCCGAAACCGACCGAACCGACATGCCGCAAGCAGCCTTCAAGTGCGCGGCGACGCAGCAGCGACACGACAATCGACCGAACCGAACCAACCCGCGCAACCGACTCCGACGCAGCCGAGCCGACCGACACCCTGGGCCTCCCGCCTGCGCAGGCGTCGCCTGTCTGCCGCTCGCTCCCGCCTGCCCGTGCGGCACATAACTGCCGTGGAGCCCGCGGCGCTGCACTCCGATCCTCGATCCTCGATCCAAGATCCTCGATCCTCCATCCTCGCTCCTCGATCTTAAGTCCTCGATCTTCGAGCCTCCATCCTCGATCCTCGATCCTCGACCCTAGAGCCCTGGCGCCGGCATAAAACAAGCACGGGGCCGCGAGCACATCACGGCCGGAACTCCCGACCCTCTCTCCTGCTGCCGCACGCCTCGGGCTAGAACCAGCCCGCCAGGGGACCTGGGGCAGGGGCATACCCGTCACTGTCACGACCATCACCACCGTCACCACCACCACCACCACCATCGTGACCACCACCACCACCACCACCACCACCACCACCACCACCACCACCACCACCACCACCACCACCACCACCACCACCACCACCACCACCACCTACCACAACCACCACCTACCATCACCACCACCACCACCATCACCACCACCGTCGTGACCACCACACCATCGCCGCCCCTGGCCCACAGGGGCGTGGGAGGCAGGTCTCTGGAGCCTGGAGGGCTCGCGCGCGGGCGGGGCCACCACACCATCCCCGCCCCTGGCCCACAGGGGCGTGGGAGGCAGGCCTCTGGAGCCTGGAGGGCTCGCGCGCGGGCGGGGCCTTGATGATCTTGCGGATGTGCTCTGGGGGCATCTCTTCCTAGAGGGCGGGAGGGCGGGCGCCCCCGCACCGGCGGAAGGCGGGGAGAGAGGAGGACGGGGGGGGGGCGGGGGCGCGAGGGAGGAGCCGGAGAAGGAGCAGGCAGGAAGGGCAAGCAGGGGGAAGGGACAGAGAGGAGGAGGAGGAGGAGGAGGAGGAGGAGGAGGAGGAGGAGGAGGAGGAGGAGGAGGAGGAGGAGGAGGAGGAAGAGAGGGAGGAGCATCGTCGTGATCAGCATCACCATCATCATCGCCACCACCACCATCTCCACCACCATCATCACCATCACCAACATCATCATCAACAGTCATCGTCATCCGCAGAAGCATCAGCATTCGCATCAGCGCCAGCATCAGAGGCAGCAGCAGCCCCATCTGCCACGTCCTATTCCTATGTATCAGTCTTTCTCCCTCCTCCTCTTCCCCCGTATGTTCGCCCTCGTCCTCCTCACCGTCTTTTGGCTTTCTTCTTAGCAATACTCATCTCAATATTCTTCTTACTCATCTTAGGAATCGTGATATCATCACTAGCGTATGAGTAAGTCGTGTGATGAGTACTGTTTCTAGTATTGGTATACCTAGTATCAAGATCCGCCGGCCCCCTTGTGGGGCCACCAGGCTGTAGGCCCGTGATTCGCAGTTTCCTGTACCAGTTGTAGCTTGTAGTTTCCAGTGTTACAGTTCTGCTTCTTGCTGGTTACTGTAACTAGTTGATTGACCGCGCGAGGGGGGGGGAGGCCCAAACGGGATTTTCAGCGTCTCCTGGGCGCGTTGTCTGAATTGCTGGGGGGGCTCGAAATCGACACCCCTCACGCAGATCCGCGGGGTCAGGGTCCAAAAACACAAGGGATTTGCCACATTTCTGAAATTCGGTGCCACCCCTCACGCAGATCCGCGGGATCAGGGTCCAAAAACACAGGGATTTGCCACATTTCTGAAATTCGGTGCCACCCCTCACGCAGATCCGCGGGGTCAGGGTCCAAAAACACATGGGATTTGCCACATTTCTGAAATTCGGTGCCACCCCTCACGCAGATCCGCGGGGTCAGGGTCCAAAAACACAGGGGATTTGCCACATTTCTGAAATTCGGTGCCACCCCTCACGCAGATCCGCGGGGTCAGGGTCCAAAAACACATGGGATTTGCCACATTTCTGAAATCCGGTGCCACCCCTCACGCAGATCCGCGGGGTCAGGGTCCAAAAACACATGGGATTTGCCACATTTCTGAAATTCGGTGCCACCCCTCACGCAGATCCGCGGGGTCAGGGTCCAAAAACACATGGGATTTGCCACATTTCTGAAATTCGGTGCCACCCCTCACGCAGATCCGCGGGGTCAGGGTCCAAAAACACAGGGGATTTGCCACATTTCTGAAATTCGGCGCCACCCCTTACGCAGATCCGCGGGGTCCAAAAACAAGGATTGCCACATTTCTGAAATTCGGTGCCACCCTTCACGCACATCCATCGCAAGGCGTGGTAACCCAAACTGCGAGAACTCCCTCGGCCCTTTAATCGCAAGGTGTGGTAACCAAGCCCGTAAACCATACACGTCTTACCAATCGCCAGGTGTGGTAACCCCTCTTGTGATCAGTTGGTTTTGCTGATTGCGAATCGGCTTCGCATGAAGTTTCGATACTGCTTCACGACAGCGCCAAGGCCTCATGACTTAGCTCTTCCATGGCCCATTCTCCGAGAGAGGGGGCCGGCGGCAGGGGGCGAAGCCCTTACGGATTACATAAATTGAAATTTTCGGATTAACAAGAATAGTCGCACTGCTGGTGTAATGCTGATGAGAAACACGCTTACTACCATTGCTCATGGCGAGACTATGGATGTTATCATTGCTATTATTATTAATCATCCTCATAATCCGCCTCCTCCTCCTCTTCCTCCTCCTTACCCTCGTCAAATTATTGATATTCCTCCATCCCTTCCCTTATAAATAATTTCTCCCTGTCGCACCCCGAGGCTAGTTTTTAAGGCGGGCCGGACGTTTCGCCTGAGACTTCCTCACCATTTACGACTCTGGGGCGTAAAAATGACAACAGTTTTCCAAATGGAGGGCGGATGGTTTTCACAATGTGGCTATCGCCTGAGCGCCGCGCACGCTCGTTTCAAACAATTGCAAAAGTTCCACGGACTGAAGGCGGAAGGTCTTCAAAATCTGGTTTTCGCCTGAGCGCCGCGCACATTCGCTTCAAACATTTGCAAGGGTTTCACGGGTTGAGGGCTGGTGGCTGGTTTTCAAAATGTGGCCCTCGCCTTAGCGCCGCGCACATTCGTTTCAAACATGTGCAAGAGCTTCACGAATTGAAGGCGGGTGGTTTCCAAAATGTGGCTCTCGCCTTAGCACCGCGCACATTCCTTTTACAACAACTGCAAGAGCTTCAAAGATGGAGGGCGGGTGACTTCAAATTGTGGCTCTCGCCTGAGCGCCGCGCACATTCCTTTTACAAAAACTGCAAGAGCTTCAAAGATGGAGGGCGGGTGATTTTCAAAATGTGGTTCTCGCCTGAGCGCCGCGCACATTCGTTTCAACCATTTGCAAGAGTTTCACGGACTGAAGACGGGTGGTTTTCAAAATGTGGCTCTCGCCTGAGCGCCGCGCACATTCGTTTCAAACATTTGCAAGAGCTTCACGAATTGAGGGCGGGTGGCTGGTTTTCAAAATGTGGCGCTCGCCTTAGCGCCGCACACATTCGTTTCAAACATGTGCAAGAGCTTCACGAATTGAAGGCGGGTGGTTTCCAAAATGTGGCTCTCGCCTTAGCACCGCGCACATTCCTTTTACAACAACTGCAAGAGCTTCAAAGATGGAGGGCGGGTGACTTCAAATTGTGGCTCTCGCCTGAGCGCCGCGCACATTCCTTTTACAAAAACTGCAAGAGCTTCAAAGATGGAGGGCGGGTGGTTTTCAAAATGTGGTTCTCGCCTGAGCACGAACAAATTGCAAGTGTTTGACGGATTCCCATGGTCAACGTACCAGAAAAGGCGTGCTGGAAGGATTCAGGATTATGCGGGCGGGCGCAACAGTTTGTTGAATTCGCGGTGCTGAAGTCCCAAAAACGGCGTTCTGGCACGATTCCAGATCCTGAGGACGCAGCAGTCAGGTTGATCCGTGGCGTGGAAATCCTGAGAACACATCGTCTTGGCATGCTTCAAGGTCTTCAACGGTTCTCTTCCAACAAGACAGTCCCCTCAATGGAAATGAACCGTTGTAGGGGCCTATGAAGACGGAGCTCGGAGGGAGGGTCACTTCCACCATCGTTGATGACTCTTGCTTCGCATTGGTCCTCCTCTCCTCCTCCTCCTCCTCCTCCTCCTCCTCCTCCTCCTCCTCTCTTCATCCCCCCTCCTCCTCTCCTCCTCCTCCTCCTCCTCCTCCCCCCCCCTCCTCCTCCCCCTCCTCGTCCTCCTCCTCCTCCTCCTCCTCCTCCTCCTCCTCCTCCTCCTCCTCCTCCTCCTCCTCCCCCTCTCCTCATCCTGCCCGTCATCCACCACCCCCTCATCCTGCTCTACCTATCATCCTGCACTTTCGCCTCCTCCTCCTCCTCCTCCTCCTCCTCCTCCTCCTCCTCCTCCTCCTTCTCCTCATTCTCCTCATTCTCCCCATCCTTCTCTGTCTTCGCCCATATCCCCTCCTTCCCCATCCGCCCGGTCCTTCTGCTGCTCGACCACGCCGAATTTGCGCTTCTCGCCGTAGCGCTTTGCGTTGAGCGACTGCCACTTGCGCGCCTGGGCCAGCGCGCGCGACGGGCACGGACGGCGTCGCACCCGCCCGCCAGCCAGGGAGGAGGATGAGGAGGAGCAGGAGGAGGAGGAGGACGAGGGCGAGGGCAAGGGAGGAAAGGCGGAGGACGAGGACGAGGGTGAGGCCAAGGACGAGGCCGACGACGACGACGACGACGACGACGACGACGACGACGACGACGACGACGACGACGACGACGACGACGACGACTGGCGAGGGGGCCGCTGGCATCCGAGAGCGGCTCGAACGCGCGCGAGGCAAGCAAGGGGGGGCGGAGGGGGGTGCGGGGTGGAGCGCCCTTCCGCTGGCCAGTGGGAGAGAAGAGGAGGAAGAGGAGGAAGAGGAAGAAGAGGAAGAAGAGGAGGAGGAGGAGGAGGAGGAGGAGGGGGAGGGGGAGGGGGGGGAGGAGGAGGACGAGGAGGAGGAGGAGGCGGAGGTCGAGGACGAGGAGGAAGACGAGGAGCATGAGAAAAAAGGAGGAGGAGGAGGAGAGGAGGAGGAGAGGAGGAGGAGGAGAAGGAGGAGGAGGAGGAGGAGGAAGAAGAAGAATGATGGGAGCCCTGAAATCCGACGTTGCGAACACAACCGCAGCCCTGGACCCCATCTGCTGCATTCTTCGAACTGGATCGATCTGCGACGGTCCCGGTCCCGAGAGGCAGGGAAAAATCGCCAGAGGAGAAGAAGTGTGACGCCAGGATCCCAGTGATGATGAGGAGGACGAGGAGGAGGAGGACGAGGAGGAGGAGGACGAGGAGGAGGAGACGAGGAGACGAGGAGGATGAGGGAGGAGGAGAGGAGGAGGAGGAGGAGGAGGAGGAGGAGGAGGAGGAGAGGAGGAGGAGGGAGGAGGAGGAGAGGAGGAGATGAGGTGGAGAGGAGGAGGAGGAGGAGGAGGAGGAGGACGACGAGGAGGGAGGAGGACGAGGAGGGAGGAGGACGAGGAGGGCGAGGAGGGAGAGGCGACAACTGTAGCACGTTCGGGCAAGTGCCGGCTGCGCGCGGCGCTTCAGCTGGGGCGGCGCGCGCCCGCGGAGCGGAGGGGAACCAGGCCACGGGCCGCCTACAACTCCCGAGCGCGGGCGAGCAGTGCTGCGCGGGAGCGGATGGGTCCTCATCCCGCTCCTCCGTGCTCCGTCCGTGCGCTGGACGGAGACAGGATCCCCGATCCTTTTTCTCCTCACCCCTCCCCCTCCTCCCTCCCTCCCTCCCTCCCTCCTCCCCCCTCTCTCTCCCTCCCTCCTCCTCCCCCCTCCCTCCCTCCCTCCCTCCCGCCTTCCCTTTCCCTCTCCTCCTCCTCCTCCCTCCCCCCTCCCCCCTCCCTTCCCTCCTCCTTCTCCTCCTCTCTCCCTCCCCTCCTCCCTCTCTTCCTTCCCCCCCAACTCTCACTCACTCCGTCCCTCCACAATTACTCCGGAATACCACTCTTAATTCTCTTCCCCGGAGGATGGCCAGGGAGTCGCCCGTCCCCCTCCGCGCACTTCTTCTGCGACACCGGATTCCAGAGGCGCATGCTTCACATGATTGGTTCAATCCGAGCGCTGCCGGTATCTCCAAAAAGGTGCTGCCGCTGCAGCGTGGGCCCCATTTTAGGATCGGCGCTGCTCCTCCTCCTCCTCCTCCTCCTCCTCCTCCTCCTCCTCCTCCTCTCCTCCTCCTCCCCTCCTCCTCCTCCTCCTCCTCCCCTCCTCCTCCTCCCTCCTCCTCCTCCTCCTCCTCCTCCTCCTCCTCCTCCTCCTCCTCCTCCTCCTCCTCCTCCTCCTCCTCCTCCTCCCATCATTCAGAATGGCACTCTCGCCCCAGCGCGGGCCGCACTCCTGGATCCGATTGCTTCCTCGTCGCTGTCGCTCCGGTCCCTTCCCCTCCCCCACCTTCCCCTGGTCATCCTGCTCCTACTCCAGCTTCTGCTGCTGCTGCTGTCCCTCCTCCTCCTCCGTCATCCGTCCTCCGTCCTCCGTCCTCCGTCCTCCGTCCTCCGTCCTCCGTCCTCCTCCTATTCCTCCTCCTCCTGCTCCTCCTCCTCATCATCCAACTATTCATCCTCTTGCTTATCAGCCACTTCCTCCTGAAGTGTACGCAGCTCCCCTTTTTCCGATGTCGCATGACACGATGGGGTCCTTGTTGGAATTCCAGGTCCGCTGTGACGCACGCCGGCGGGCAGGCAAAAACTTAGCGCCATGGGAACGGATGGGTGGGAAAGGTAGGATGTCAGATATGCCGCGAGTGCACTCAACTTGACCTCCTCCCTCTCCCTCCTCCCTCCATCCCTCCCTCCTTCTAATCCTCGACTTCTACGTGGGATGGCCTGCTCCTGCTCCTGCTCCTTCCCCCTCCTTCTCTTCCTTCGTAGCCATGTTGGCCACTATGCCCCCCCGCACCTCGAGCAACAGGCCCCGCCCTGCGGCGCCTGGGCTCGCGCGAGTGCTCGGCGCTGTCTCAGCCATGCGCTGTGCGGCTTGAGCGCTGCCGATGGGCACTGCTTCGAGTGCGTCGGTGGTACATGAGCCGAGCTTGCGACCTTCGTCTTCGCGCACGTGGCGCTGCGAGTGCGCATCTTCGTTCTCGCACTGCGGCTGCAGTGTCGTCGTCGTCGTCGCCGTCACCAGGGCCTCCAGCCACGACGCCTCGCTGGAGAGAGGGGGGGAAGGAGTACATGCTGCAGACCGAGCGGGTGACCGCAAAGTCAGGCGCCCTCCGGATGCGCCACCGCTGCCCCTGGCACGTGGGGCGGCTCCCCCTGCAGGAATTCTGGTAAGTTACCGCGCCACCGCCGCCGCCTCCGCGCCCTACTCCTTCGGCGTCTCGGCGTGGTACCCACCAGGAACTCAAGCCGAAGGAGGAGCGCAGTCCAAGGTGAACGAGAAAAAAAGCAACCCAAGAAGGAGAAGAAGAAGAAGAAGAAAAAGAAGAAGGAGGACAGGAACGGCTCAGGGCATCGAGACCGCCTTCTAGGAGATGGAGGCTCCCCCCACGCCTCCGCCTCCGCCGCCTGGAGTGCTCGGGGTGCCGAAGGACCCGTACGTAAAGATGGCGAAGGTTCCAGCGCCGCCTCCTCCTCCTCCCCCACCTCCACCTCCCCCTCCTCCTCCTCCTCCTCCTCCTCCTCCTCCTCCTCCTCCTCCTCCTCCTCCTCCTCCTCCTCCTCTCTCCTCCTCCTCCTCCTCCTCCTCCTCCTCCTCCTCCTCCTCCTCCTCCTCTCCTCCTCACTCCCCTCCCTCCTCCTCCTCCTCCTCCTCCTCCTCCTCCTCCTCCTCCTCCCCTCCTCCTCCTCCTCCTCCTCCTCCCTCCTCCTCCTCCTCCTCCTCCTCCTCCCCTCCTCCTCCTCCTCCTCCCTCCTCCTCCTCCTCCTCCTCCTCCTCCTCCTCCTCCTCCTCCTCCTCCTCCTCCTCCTCCTCCTCTCCTCCTCCTCCTCCTCCTCCTCCTCCTCCTCCTCCTCTCCTCCTCCTCCTCCTCCTCCTCCTCCTCCTCCTCCTCCTCCTCCTCCTCCTCCTCCTCCTCCGTATCCGAGGCGCTGCTCGCCGCGGGGCCAGCGCCTCCACCAGAGTGGCCGAGCCCTGGGACTCCGAGGCCCCCGCCGAGCGGACTGCCGAGCGGCCTGCGCCAGCGCCGCGCCCCACCGGCGAGGAGGAGACTCGGGGGGAACGAAAGGGGGGGACAGCAGAGGTGAAGTCGGGCCCGTCCCCCTGCAGGGGGATGTTGGAGGAAAACAAAAAAAGCCCAAAGATACTCCAAAATGGGCAAAACAAATCTCAAAAATGGTCCCCTGGCTATGTTTTTTGACTACTTGGGAATGTTCCTCCTGTAGAGGGACAGGCCCGACTGAAAGCAAAGGGTAAGGTAGAGAATCAGCTCACGCAGCCGATTCTCGGGGATGGACAGACCTCCCTTTAGTAAAACGTGGTTTAGTGAAAACGGCCTGAGGCCCAGACCTGGCGGGCGCAAGCCTGGAAAATGACGGCCACGGCGCCCTCTCGAAAACCGAAAACGGACAATTCACTAGTCGACGCGTCACTGTTGGGGGTTCTGTCCACCCCCGAGATTCTCCCGGCGCCTCCCGGCGCCGGGAGGCGCCCGCGCATCGAGGGATGTGCCCCGCGGCGGGGCCGAGACCAGCTGCCTGCCGCAGATCTCGTAGCCCCTCCTCTCCCTATCCTTGAATCGGGCGTGTCCCCCCTACAGGGGGATCTTGGACGGAAAACATAAGACATATCCCAAAAGATGCCCACGGCATGCTCCAAAAGAGTCAACAAAAAACGTCCCTGGACGATTGCTTCACTAGTTTCGAAGCTTCCTCCTGTGGAGGGACAGGCCCGACTTCACCCTATCCTAAAACAGGGCTAGGATCGGGATAAATCGCTCCGGAGCGTTCCAGAGCGCTCTCAGAGCGTTCCGGAACGCTCTGGAGCGGCCGCGGCGCCCAAGACGTATTCCAAACCCGCCGATTCTCGGAGATTTCGAGTTATCCCGATCCGATTTTGTCCCGATCTTCGCGTCGTTCTACCTGTCCTCCCCTTTCGTTCGGCTCGAGAGACCGGGGACGCCACCGCCTCCGCCGCGACCGGCCCCCTCGCCCTCCGCCGCTGGCCGCGGGGCTCGGCCGGCGGAGCCGTCGGGGCCGAGAGGCGGCCGGGGGGTCGCGCGCAGGAGGAGCGGAGGAAGCGGGAGCGCCACCTGCAGGAGAGTCGGGATCAGAAGTAGGTGCCACCCAAAAATAGTCCCCAGACTATTTTTGGATTATGTTTAAAGTATGTTTGGCGAATGTTTTGTTTTTCGTCGAAAATCCCCCTGTAGGGGGACAGGCCCGACTTAACGCCAGAGTCTGCCTGCGTGTCGGCATTCGCTTAGGGGGCCACATGCGAACCCTACCCCTACCTCCCACGACTTCGGAGGGGGAGGGTGGGGGGTCACTTCGTCCAGGAGCTCCCGAGCGAAGCGAACCCCACGCTCCCCCTCGGAAATCATGGGGGGTAGGGGTAGGGTTCGCACG